ACTGACGTGCTATCTCCTTTTGGGTGAAAAACTGTTTTTAAATTTTCCTGTGGAGTCGGAGAAATTGAACGGACATTTTTTTCTGTCACTGCAGTTATATTGACTATCTGTTTCTGGGAGACTATGTTGATCGAGGACAGCACAGCTTGGAGACCATCACTCTACTTCTGGCTCTAAAGGTAAGCTGCTGACTTGACTATTTATTGCTTGTTCTGTTTTATTATCTTAAATTTCCTTAATGGACCTCAGATTGAGTACCCTGAGAATGTTCACTTAATACGTGGGAACCATGAAGCTGCTGACATCAATGCCCTTTTCGGCTTTCGCATTGAATGTATTGAGAGAATGGTATGTATGTGTGCAAATTATTTCTATTATAGACTTCTTTGGATGAATGATGATTGATGTACCTGTGTAGGGAGAGAGCGACGGGATTTGGGCTTGGACACGTTTCAATCAATTATTTAATCACCTTCCACTTGCTGCGCTTATTGAGAAGAAAATCATATGCATGCATGGTGGCATTGGGAGGTCAATAAATTCAGTAGAACAGATAGAGAAACTAGAGAGGCCCATAACGATGGACGCTGGGTCGATTGTACTAATGGATTTGCTATGGTATGCTTAGCATTATATTCTATATTTTTGCGTATATCCAATGCCTTACACTCCTGTGTTTTTGTGCAGGTCTGATCCCACTGAAAATGATAGTGTAGAAGGTTTGAGACCAAATGCTAGAGGACCTGGTCTTGTAACATTTGGGGTATGCATTTTATGAATTGACACACAGAAATTTGGTTGATTTAGATACATTAGTAAATCTTGTCACAAGAATAACTTTTTACCTGCATATAATGGCCTTTCCATTTCTGTTTAATCTATTATTATTGCCAGCCTGATCGGGTCACAGAATTCTGTAAGAGGAACAAATTGCAACTCATCATAAGAGCACACGAATGTGTTATGGATGGATTTGAACGGTTTGCCCAGGGACAGTTAATCACTCTTTTTTCCGCAACCAATTATTGTGGTAATTGTTTAGAAATCGAAAAATCTTCACTTCCACTTTCTACTAGAGCTTGATTTGCAATCTGATTGAATAATTGCATCCAGGGACTGCAAATAATGCTGGGGCAATATTGGTAGTTGGCAGAGGATTGGTCATTGTTCCAAAATTAATTCATCCCTTGCCACCTCCTATCCAGTCCCCAGAGACATCTCCTGAACGTGTGACTGAGGAGAGTTGGATGCAGGTGATCCTGTTGTTTATTTTTCTTGTGTTCACTGTTCGATCCAATTCTCATTCGTATTAAACCCAGTTGGCTTGATGCTTAAAAAGTATTGATTTTTGATTTGCTTACTTCAGGAGCTTAACATTCAAAGACCCCCTACTCCTACAAGAGGCCGCCCACAACCTGACTTCGACCGAAATTCACTTGCCTATATTTGAAGTCACTTGTCGATTTCTTGATATCACAATATCATTCATGCCCGAAGTCCTATAGGCCAGTTGACGTGCATCACCATCTGCTGTCAACAACCATGTTGTAGTTAATGGATACAGTTAGAAAGTTCAATTTTTATTAGTGTCACATTGAGTGGTAGGTAAGTTTAGCAAATGGACTAGAGGGTAACATCTTTTCATTGTGTTGCTTTGTAGATTTTGTACAAAGCCAGCCCGGTATAAATGGTTTTTTCTTATGTGTTATCATAATTACAGTATAATTTATAGTTGTTACAGTTAGAACTGATGTACAGGTGCGTGTAGCCGTTGGTTTAATTTTTATTTATTTTTTAATTAGAATAATTTTCAGGAAAATTATCTGCTGTTTTCATCTCTGAGTCTGTACCATCTATCTACAGAGTTTCATTCTTGCTCCATGTTCCTCAAAATAATGGCATTGCAAGTTTAACTCAATACTGTCAAATACTGTCTATCTACAGAGTTTCATTCTTGCTCCAAAGAACGCCCATGTTGTTGCAATTCCATCCAGAAGGTAATGGGTTACTCCTATTCCTATCATACATTACTCCATTGGACTCCAATGGAATTGGAAATTAAGATATTCTTTTTAGGAGGTGTTGCAACAGCAAAGGGGTAATTCATACTTATAACTCTAAACAAAGGTTCAGAAAGAAAAAAAGACAG